TTCCCCGGTGAGCTCAACAGGTTTGGGTTATGCCTCTAGCCCAGCCGTGGGCAAACTACGGCCCGCGGGCCGGATCCGGCCCGTTTGAAATGAATAAAACTAAAAAAAAAAAAAGACCGTACCCTTTTACGTAATGATGTTTACTTTGAATTTATATTAGTTCACACAAACACTCCATCCATGCTTTTGTTCCGGCCCTCCGGTCCAGTTTAAGAACCCATTGTGGCCCTCAAGTCAAAAAGTTTGCCCACCCCTGCTCTAGCCTATTAAAAAGATAGCACAGAATTTTTTATCACTATCAGACAGACCAATAGCTGTGTGATTTTGGAGAGCTAAGGCTTTCTCTTTTCATAGATTTAAATCCTACAGGGGTGAACCCTGCTTGTTAATTAGAGAGAGAGGCTGGGAAAACCCGAGTCCTGGAGGCAATGAGTCAACAGGTTCGCAGCACTTACTCTGCCACACACTGTGCAAAGCACTTGTCAATTCATTTAATTTCCACAAAAAAGGGGGGGGGGACAGGGGGCAGGAGAGGAGGCCACCACATCTTCTGTCTCCAGAGCTGGCTAGGCTGGCTCCAGAGCTGGTTCTTAAGCTCACATCTCTCAGAATGGCTACCATCAACAAATCAACCAATGACAAGTGCTGGCGAGGATGTGGAGAAAAAGGAACCCTGGTACACTGCTGGTGGGAATGCAGACTGGTGCAGCCACTGTGGAGAACAGTATGGAGTTTCCTAAAAAAATTAAAAATGGAACTCCCATTTGGTCCAGTCATCCCACTTCTAGAAATATATCCAAAGAAATCAGAAACACCAGTCAGAAAGGATATATGCACCCCTATGTTCATAGCAGCACAATTTACAATAGCTAAGATTTGGAAACAGTCTAAGTGCCCATCAGCAGATGAGTGGATAAAAAAACTACAGTACATTTACACAATGGAATACTACATGGCAATAAAAAAAAGGATTCTTACCATTTCAACAGAATGGATGGACCTGGAGAGTATTATGCTGAATGAGATAAGCCAGTCAGAGAAAGACAAGTACCACATGATCTCACTCATATGTAGAATCTAGTGAACCAAATCAACTGATGATAAAAAATAGACCCAGTCATAGAAGCATGAGCGGACTGTTGAACCTCAGAGGGAAGGCAGGGGAGGGAGGGTGGGAAGAGATCAACCAATGAACTTGTGTACATGTATGCATAACCCGTGGACACAGACAATGGGGTGATGAGGGCCTGGGGTGGGGGGCAAAGATGGGATCAGGCTGGAAGAGGCTAATGAGGGGAAAAGGAGGACCTATGTAATACTTTCAATAAATATTAAAAGGAAAAAATTTAACTAGTCAAGGTGTTTTGCAGATATCCATATGCTCAGACTGTTGAAAATTGACTCGCCTTTCTGCCTTCTTCTCTCAGCTCTTTGTGTCAAAAACTGTCCTTTTCTTTAGTGGCTTACTTAGTGCTTCCTGTGGACGGCACTGTCTCACTGGCCTCACGGGTTGTGTTGAAGTGCCACCTAGTGTTCTGTGCCAAGAGGCTGTGAGGTGCCACCAAGAAGGACCGTGTTAGATGAGCTTCATGCAGGCAAGAGTCACAGTGCTATTGGCCATGAGTTCTATGTTAATGAGTTAACAATATATATGAATATGTATATTAATAGATTAAATAAGGTGCCTTTAAACAGAAACACACAACAAAGGTCACATATTGATCCATTGGTGGAAATGATGTGACCAAACCCTGTTCTCCTGAGGACCATGATCCAATATTTGCCGAATTCAGTGTTAGACAGGACTTGGTAGAACAGAACTGCCATGAATAATGAAAATTGACTACATTTTATTTGTGGCTATTATAGTTGAGGTTTTCTCTATCATTATTTGTGTGCACGAAAGCTATTGATTACTGTATATTAAATTTCTATCCTGCCACCTTCTGAGTTATTTTTATTGTATGAATTAGCACTATCATAGATTCTTTCAGGTTTTTGAGGTATACTTTTATCACATGCAAATATAATTTTACTTCTTTTTCAATTTCATTTCCCTAATTAATTTCATTTGTTTAATTGTGTTGGCCATAACTCCTCCCTCCCTTCCCCTTTTTTAAGGACCACTGTACATCTATGTGGAAATGCTCTGAGCTGATAATGGACTGTGTCATTGATCCACTGACTCCTGGAGTTGAAAAGGAACTTAAGAGGCAATGTTGGCGACTCGGTCACTTGATGCATGGATCTTTATACACCACTCGAGTGGTCATCCAGTCTCTTCTCGAACGTCTGTTCCTTTGCTTCTGATAAGAGTGCCTTCTCTCTTTCAGGCAGTAACCCTATACCCATTCCACATAGCTCTGTGCCAATTATACAAGGTGGCCATCACATCTGGACACATAGCGATTACGATTATTTTTACAGCTTGAACCCCTTTTGTTATTTCTGGCACGTGCTAAAGATGCACATTTGTTCAGTGACAATCAAACAGGAGTTACCTGAGGCAGTGCATACAGATGCACAAGCCACAGCCTAGCACAGCGGTTCTCAACCTGTGGGTCGCGACCCCTTTGGGGGTCGAAAAACCCTTTCACAGGGGTCGCCTAAGACCATCGGAAAACACATATATAATTACATATTATTTTTGTGATTAACCACTATGCTTTAATTATGTTCAATTTGTAACAATGAAAATGCATCCTGCATATCAGATATTTACATTACGATTCATAACAGTAGCAAAATTACAGTTATGAAGTAGCAACGAAAATAATTTTATGGCTGGGGTCACCACAACATGAGGAACTGTATTATAGGGTCGCGGCATTAGGAAGGTTGAGAACACTGGTCTAGCAGCTCTCTTGCCTTCTTTGTTTCTCGGAGATCTTTGTCTGTGCCCAGTGTTTTGGAAACAGCTGTTAAATACATTTTATCAGGTTCTAATTTCTTTCTGGTAGGGGAGGGGGATTCAATTTGTTATTCAGTATTGGCTGGAAGTTGCCCTAGCTGGTTTGGCTCAGTGGATAGAGCATCGGCCTGCGGACTGAAGGGTCCCAGGTTCAATTCCAGTCAAGGGCACATACCTGGGTTGCAGGCTCGATCCCCAGTAGGGGATGTGCAGGAGGCAGCCAATCAATGATTCTCTCTCATCACTGATGTTTCTATCTCTCTCCCCCTTCTTCTCTAAAATCAATAAAAGTATATTTTAAAAAATATTGGCTGGAAGTGCAAATACACTGTTGTTATTGCAATTTCCCCCAGCACATTGGCTGGGCATTATCAACAAAGGACAGCACATTGGGCATATCACTGAGTGTCACTGAGTACACCATGCTCTGTAATGTAATACTAACAAACTATTATCCTGTGTCTTTGTCCCATCGTCCTTCATCCCTGCAGTTCTGTGAAGATGAAGAAAGGTAGAATAGATAGAAGGTGCCCACCTTTCAGAAGTCAGAGGTCTCTCTGGAGCCTGACACAAGCACTCAGTTGCTTGTTGAATAATTAAATTAGTGCACACCAGCCCACATGGATGCACACTGACCACATGAGTACATGCAGGTCTACATGGACGCATGCAGGCCCACATGGATGCATGCCGGCCCACATGAGTGCACACCAGCCCACATGGATGCACACTGACCACATGAGTACATGCAGGTCTATATGGATGCATGCAGGTCTATATGGATGCACGCAGGCCCACATGGATGAACGCAGTCCCACATGGATGCACGCAGGTCCACATGGATGAACGCAGTCCCACATGGATGAACGCAGTCCCACATGGATGCATGCTGGCCCACATGAGTTCAGGCAGGCCTACATGGACGTACGCAGGCCCACACGGATGCTTGCTGACCCACATGAGTTCAGGCAGGCCTACATGGACGTACGCAGGCCCACATGGATGCACAATGGCCCACATGGATGCATGCAGGCCTGCAGGTGGCATGATGATTACAGCGATGGAATGAATGGCTTCTTCCCTGCCCCACCTGTTCTCCACTGGGCTCCACAACCTTCCTGCCTGGGAGAAGCTCCAGGCTCTGGGTGGCAGTACGCCTCCCACAACTCCCTGCCTTGTTCCGGACCATTTCCTTAATTCCTTCCTCATTGCATTCCTACTTTTGGCTGATGCTGAGCTCATGTCCCTTTTCTTACACATTTTTGGAAGTGGATTCCTCTTTTAATTTCTTTGCCATAACCTTGGTGATTTTTAGCTTTCTGGAATGTGAGTATCATTTTTAATTATGTTGTGAATTTTTAGAGTATTGGAATGCTGCCTTAGCTTTTGCAAAAAGCATCCAATATTTGTCTTATTAATAATCTGTATCCTATGGTTATCTAGCCCAAAAGCTATTATTGACTAGAAGTGATTTGAATGAGCTTTTTCATTTTTTAAATTATTTAAAACTAATTTTATGAAGAAATTAATGAATAGGGGTGAATACTTTTATATGTTATTGCTAAAATGTGTTCAAAGAAAGCAATATCTCATAATCCAATAACTTTGTAATGTTTCCAATGTTAAGTTTTTATTCTGGTTCCACGCTCAATTAGAGGTACCTACAACAGACTACAGACAAAAACAATTAGGAAGGGCTCAATAAAAACAATAAAATAGGAAATGTTCAGTCTTGTAGCTCTCATACAAGTTATTAAGTCTTAATTTCAGTCCTAATATTAAGTGATAAAAATCCCTAATTCATATGAGATACTCGGTTTAAAACAAGACTTCAGGCTTGGATTATAACTAACTTCTAAAATTTTTGAAAATGCTACAACAGTAGTCTATCAGATTAAACTTCTGGGTGTGCAGAGTCTTCCAGAAGATTGAGCATATTTTTGTGAGGACAGGAGAAGGAACAGGACAAAGAAATGGAAAAGTCAAACCCAATAAGCCCCAATAGGTCGGAGATCCCGGTGGGGGAGGCAGAGAAGTCTACCTTGTTACAAACAGGGACAGCGGGGTGGGATGCAGGAGGCAGCCTTACCTCAGCAGAGGGGCTAGGTCCACAGTGTCAGGGCTGAGGTCTGGGCGGCCCCGGAGGAACGCTGGCTCTCTTAACCAAAGCTGCTACTATACTGCTTTAAGGTCTCCTGGTGGCAATCCTCAGCCCTTTGTTGCTGTGGAAGGCTCTATGAGTGCAGGGCGGGGCTGCTCAGGTGGAGGTGAAGCAGCGATGACTCTGCTGGCTGACTCCTAAACCCTGTGCCTTGACCCTTCTCTGGGGAAGTGATGTCAGCATTACTTAAGGTATTAGGGCCTTTGCTGTACTGAGACCTAAACTGGCCCGGAAACTGGGGGGTGATCTCACATGCACTACTCTTGAGAGATTTCTGGGTGTTCTGGAGATAAACAATGTCGCCCCCCTCCCACCTTGGGCTTGGGGTGTCTCCAGGGGTAGGATTCTTGGGACCTGTAGCCATGGGAAGGGTCGTCTGAATCCGAGCACACCGCCTCCTGCAGGGGCAGCCTCTTGGCGGGTTTCTTTTTCTTTCTTCTAAGGTTCTCCTGTCTCAGCTCCCGGAGGTTGGTGGTGCCAGCTTCTCTGACTGGCCATGTAAGTAAACTTGAGTTCTTCATGCCCACATCTTCCCTAGAGAGACAGAATCAGGGTCACCATGGTCTCCACGGCTGCTGTGTCTACAGAGAGATCCAAGCCAAGAGATAACAGGTGTGGGCGAGGATGTGGAGAAAAGGGAACCCTGGTGCACTGTTGGTGGGAATGTAAATTGGTGCAGCCACCGTGGAAAACAGTATAGACCAGGGGTCCTCAAACTACGGCCCGCGGGCCACATGCAAATACAAATATTGTATTTGTTCCCGTTTTGTTTTTTTACTTCAAAATAAGATATGTGCAGTGTGCATAGGAATTTGTTCATAGGTTTTTTTTAAACTATAGTCCGGCCCTCCAACAGTCTGAGGGACAGTGAACTGGCCCCCTGTTTAAAAAGTTTGAAGACCCCTGGTATAGAGGATCCCCCAAAATTAAAAATGGAACTGTCATGCCCTAGCCGGTTTGGCTCAGTGGATAGAGCATCAGAATGTGAACCAAAGGGTTCCGGGTTCGATTCCCATCAAGGGCATGTACCTCGATTGCAAACTCCTCCCTGGCCTGGGCCCTGGTCGGGGTGTGTGTAGGAGGCAACCAGTCAATGTGTTTCTCTCACATCGATATTTCTCTTTCCCTCTCTCTTCCACTCTCTCTAAAAATTAATGGAAAAATATTCCTGGGAGAGAATTTAAATAAATAAATAAATAAATAAATAAATAAATAAATAAATAGTAAATGTTAGTATTAAAAAAAAAATGGAACTGCCTTATGACCCAGCAATTCCACTTGGGTATTTGTCCAAAGAAAATGAAATCACTATCTTGAAGAGATATCTGCACTGTTATGTTCATGGCAGAATTATTTACAATAGCCAAGACATGGGAGCAACCTAAGTGTCCATCGATGGATGAATGGGATATATATATATATATATATATATATATATATATATATATATATATATATAT